TCATTAGCGCGGGCAGGGCAGGCGTGGCAGGCAGGCAGGCAAGCAGGCAGGCAGGCAGGAACGCAGGCAGGCAGGCAGGCCGGCAGGCAGGCAGGAAGGCAGGCAGGCAGGCAGGCAGGCAAGCAGACAGGCAGGCAGGCAGGCAGGCAGGCAGACAGACAGGCAGGCCGGCAGGCAGGCAGGCAGGCCGGCAGGCAGGCAGGCAGGCGCGCAGGCAGGCAGGCAGGCCGGCAGGCAGGCAGGCAGCCAGGCAGGAAGGCAGGCAGGCAGGCAGGCCGTCAGGCAGGCAGGCAGTCGCTCACCAAAGGCTGGGAGAGCAGGCGCTCACCGGGCGAGCATGGCCGGCGCTCGACAGCGGCGACGTCGGGGCCGCAACACCGGCTGAAGAGCAGGGCCGAAGCAGCTGCAGGGCGGGGCCGCTTCAGCGGCAGGAGCAGGGTGGGGCCGCGTCAGCGGCAGGTCGGGGCCGTGGCAGCTGCAGGGCGGGGCCGCATCAGCGGCAGGTCGGGGCCGTGGCAGCTGCGGGGCGGGGCCGCATCAGCGGCAGGTCGGGGCCGAGGCAGAGGGCCGCGCGCGGCTCGGCGCGGGCTGCGCGGACAGCGCGCGGAGCTGCTGCAGGCCGCGCGCGGCCGCGCTAGGTAGTAGCGGGCCGCGCGCGGCTCGGCGCGGGCTGTTGCGGGCCGCGCGCGGGCCGTGCGAGGCAGTAGCAGGCCGCGCGCGGCTCGGCGCGGGCTGCTGCGGGCCGCGCGCGGGCCTCGCGAGGCCGTAGCAGGCCGCGCGCGGCTCGACGCGGGCTGCGTGGGCTCGGCGCGGGCTGCGCGCGGCAGCTGCGAGCTGCGCGCGGCTCGGTGCGGGCTGCGCGCGGCTGCAGCGGGCTGCGCGCGGCTGCAGCGGGCTGTGCGCGGCTCGGTGCAGGCTGCGCGCGGCTCGGTGGCTTCGGTACGGGCAGCGCGCGGTAGCAGCGTGTTTGCGGGCCTGACAGGCGTGTAGAGGCGGCGCGCGGGCTTTACGGGCCTCTAGGGGCAGCGCGCTGGCCTAGGGCAGCAGGAGGCAGCGCTTGTGCAGCACGTCACAAGGCAAGGCAAGGCAGGCAGGTACGTGGGGTAGCGCGGTAACCGCAGCGGTAGGTGGGCCCGAAAAAAAAACGGTCCTACGGACCTTAGTGCTCTGAAACCATGTCAGAATCTAGCAGCAGGAATGACTGAACTAACAGGATGCAGGAGTACAAGTAGTAAACCCTAATTGGGTTGTACCCCATATGGGCTACCCCACTACAGCCTAGACAATATGCAGCACATATAGTTTGACAACCTTGAGGTTGCCGCCGGAAGGAGCGTAACCATCTGTGGCGGCAGAGCTTTGCGAGGAGAAAATGGCACGAATCGGTCAATCTGGATTTCGAGATATCGGTAGGTTTTCTTAATCAGAACCACCCTCTATTTAATGATTTTTCGTTGCCTCACACTTTATCAGCGCTTAGTAACACCGCCGCTATGTTACCTTTCTTCTTCCCAACGGCCATCCTCCCATTCACCCTTTCAGGAACAAATACAACCCTTGAAAGAAACCCTGCCGACGCAACAAGTCAGCACAATGCGGCTGACGCGTTCTATTCCGAGGATAGTCCATCATCATCCACGTTGTCCTCGGAATCCGCCTCGTTAGTAGATAATTCGATAGAGGAGTGTGTGGGAAGGGGCTTCACCGCGGTGGATGGGCTGGAAGGAGAACGCAGGGTAAAAGGCTCTGGCGCTGCTCCACCAGCCCACCGCAGATACACCAATGACACGTGCACTGACACGTTAACTGACACGGGCACTGAAAGCATTCGCGGCTTCCCTGCGTGGGACATAAACGGCCGCGTGAGGCGGCCTCTGATGTAAAGGACTCTCCTCTACCTTGCAGGAACTGGGATCTGCACTAAATGATAGAGCACTCTGCTGGCTTTCCAACGAGCCGTCAAACACACGATTCGCCCAAGTAACGAGGGAGTTGTAGGCTTTTATGTGCTTGCTAGTGCTCTTAGAACAAAGGATAGGAGCTCTCTGGATTTTGTAGTCGAATGTATCACTTACAAAGTGATTCTCAATTTCAGTATGATCCATGCAATACAAAGCAACACAATTTTATATGAACTGCAAACATCGAGTCGCACATGTAACCTCGAACCGCGGTACACTCGCGAATGTTCGAGTAACATTTCGAAGGGGTGAAATTCGACCCTCGAATTTCACCGATCCGAATTCTCCTTGGGTCTCGAATGTTCCTGGTGCTGCCATGTGGCACCGAATCGATGGGTCTTCCGAAGTCAACCCACTCACTTCGAAACCTGCAGCTCACGCAACATGTGAGCTGTCAAAATAGTATGTAGTGTTAGGAGCCATAGCTAGGAGAGTCCTAGCTAGGCAAGAGACAGTTTAGGCAAAAGAAGAGGGTTTTCACTAGCAGCAATGAGGATACATATAGCGCACCCTAGATGGGTTGTACTCGCTACAGAGCACCCCACTACAGGCTAGAGAATAACATTCTGACACACCCCCATAGCCAAAGTGGGGTGTAATCAGCAGAGCAAACAAAGCAGTACAAGCTCAGGGTGGATCACAATGTCACCACACATTCTGAGCACAAGTTCAAGAAGCAATAGTTTAAAGTTCACAATTATGAGCAAAGCTAGTGGTAGTCACAACGGGCAAGTGAGGAGGAGGAAAGAGACTATGAGAGGAGAGGAGGTAGTGGGCGGCAGCTGAAGCTGCTGGCACACGGCGCAACTGGAGCAACTGACTCACGGGCGACTGGAGCTGCTGGCTTGACGGCGGCCACCCCCTTCAACCTCCCCAAACTATCCCACTCCCCCTAACACACACCCGCTGCTACACCGCTAGCTCCACTCCCCTTTCACCCCCCCCTTAGTACCACTCCGTCGGCTCCAACAGGTCCACCCCCCTCAGCGGCAGCTGCAGCACAGGGAGACGGAGGAGGAGGAGGAGCAGGGAACGGCACTCAGAAGCTGCACCCCCATACCCCCCACCCCCAAACCCTAATCCAGGAGAACGGGCAGAAGGAGGGGTGGGGCGCCTTCAGAAGCACGGGGGACAGCGGGGAGGACAGGGGCAGCGAAGAACGGGCCGCCCACGGGCCTGGCACAGCCTCCCGAACCGCGCGCAGGCGGTCCGAGCCGCGCGCGGGCCTGGCGCGGCCCGTACGAGCCGCGCGCGGGCCTGGCGCAGCCCGTACGGGCCGCGCGCCGGCTGTACGGGCCGCGCGCAGGCCACGACGGGCGACGGGGGGCGACGCGCGGGTCCCCGTCGCCCGTCGCAGCGCCTCCCGGGGGCGACGCGCCGAGTGACGGGGCAGAAACCCGCCGCGCGCCTCGGGGCACACGGCGGGCAGAGAACCGCCGCACGCCTCGGGGCGCACGGCGGGCAGAAAACCGCCGCGCGCCTCGGGGCGCACGGCGGGCTGAAAACCCTAATTTCGACGCCGCGCACCACGGGGCGCGCGGCGGACAGGGAGTAGCAGTAGCAGCGGAAGCAGTGAAGTGGGCCCACAGGCCAGGAACGTTAAGCTCTGATACCATGTCAAAATAGTATGTAGTGTTAGGAGCCATAGCTAGGAGAGTCCTAGCTAGGCAAGAGACAGTTTAGGCAAAAGAAGAGGGTTTTCACTAGCAGCAATGAGGATACATATAGCAAACCCTAGATGGGTTGTACTCGCTACAGAGCACCCCACTACAGGCTAGAGAATAACATTCTGACATGAGCTTCATTCGGTGGTTGGGGGCAAACCTCCCCCCACACTCAACCTCCAACAGCCTCGGAAGCTGGCAAGAAAGGGCCGTGTTATGCGCCAGCCTAGGAAAGCAAGAGCATGCAACACGAGAAGTAGCACCAGCAGTGGGGCGTTGCCGGCAGGAGCTGCTGTTCTGACAGACGGAAAGGGTGATAATGGGTTGGTTGATCTCCCAGTGTGGGCCAGGAAGGGTAGTGCGCGGCGGCAGATACTGCAGAGGGGGGGAGTAGTGAGGAGTGGTACGCACATGGTGTGTGAGTGTGAAGAGGAGGGGAGTGGAGTGCTTGAGGAGAGAAGCTGGTTGTGTGAGGAGGTACCTGGGCAGAGTGAGACAGGTTTGGAGGGATGCAGTCTGGAGATTGAGACTGCAAGGATGCTAGGGAGAAGAATAGAATTAGTGGTTCTTGTAAACGAGACAGCAGTTCTCAGGCGTGGGATTGGGAAGTTGTGACGGTGACTAGGTCTGGAAGGTTGGTGCGTACTCCTAGGAGATTAGTTGACTCTTGGGAACTGATGTTGGAAATGTAGAAGTGTGTCCTCACATGGAAATGACTGCTAATGGTCTCATTCCATTTTAATTCAAATTGAAGTCAGCTAATTGAACTGTCATGATGGTGTTGATATGTATTTTTTATACCACGTGATGGTGAAGTCCGGGTCAATCACTTGTTGCTCATAAATCAATCACTACTATTGTTCATTCTCCAATTATGCATGTTCTTTTGGGATTAATTTGTATCGTGTGGCTAATCGTGTAGTTTCAGCTATCAGCAATTTCTGGATGTCGTGCATAGTTTCACCTTGTCACGTGGATGGATTAGTCTTGAGAAGCTGTCATCCGAGTGGAAGAAGGTCGAACTCCCCATTCACCGTCTACCACGTGGCAGCCCAACACGCTGGCCGTTCGTCACTGAGATGGAATGCGCGACCCGTCCTGCGCCCCTTACCATGACCACCAATCCCCAAGGCTCCGCGTTGACCGCCAATCTAAGGAAAATTCATCGCGCCGCGGTTTTTGTCCCAAACGCATCTGGCCCGCGTCTCTGTTGGGTGTCAACTGCACTCTGAGGAGCAGTGCCTACAGAACTTCGAGATAGTACAAATTCCGCTGGATTGTACCAGACATTTTTGTAGATACAGCCGCTGGCCGTAATTTGGTTTTCGTCAGACTCACGTACCAAAGCTGAGTGCTTTGTCGTAACTCGCGCACAATGGCGACTGTAAGCTTAGCCTCGCCGGGCACCAAGCTGCTCTCCTCCTCCCAAACCAGCGCCAACGCGCGCGCCGCTGGTCCGCAGCAGTGGGATGATGGTTCCCTCCGCCGAGTCTCTCTGCGGAAGGTTCCGCGATCGCAGCCCCACGCTGCCGGACGCGCGCAAGCGGCGGAGCGCAAGGGGCGGAAGCCGCTGGTGGTGAAGGCGCTGGTGGATGTAGACTCCATTGACGCCGTCAAGTTCGACTCGCTGGTTCGGCGCCGCGTCGTCTTCGGCCATGACGAGTGGAAGGTACGTGCCGCGATTTGGGCGATCCGTTCGACGACCCTAGAAAAACTGTGTTTTTTTCGCGTTTTGAGCCTGATTTGTGCTAGGCCTGGCTTACCGGAACTCTCCCCACGCGTATGCAACCTTCACTTGCCGCCCTTTCGCTCCGCTCACTTTCCCCCTTCTCACCCCGCGCTGTCCCCTTTCCGCGCGACATTGCGCAGAAGCACAAGTCGAGCGGGCGCTACTTCCGCCACATCAAAACCATCCTCACCTCCAAGGTCATCGGCGCGCTCGGCCTGCCCGTCGGCGTCATGACTGGTATCGCAACCGCAATTTGCGGGTGGAACGAGCTCGCAGGCATGGGCGCGCTCCCTGAATGGGCTCCGATTCTTCACATCTCCAACCTCCCTTTTACCCTCACGGCGCCAGCCCTCTCCTTCCTCCTGGTTTTCCGGACCAACTCGAGCTACGGGCGCTTCGACGAGGCGCGCAAGATGTGGGGGCTTATGCTGAATCGCACGCGCGACATCACGCGACAGGCGCTGTCGTACATGGCGCGGGACGACCACACGTACGAGTACCCGAAGCGCGCGCAGTTCATTCGGCACCTGCAGGCGTTCCCGCTCGCGTACAAGCACCACTTCCTGCAGGAAGGCTCGCTTGAGGAAGATCTCCGTGTAAGTTCTGTTTTTTGTTTTGGGTTGTTAGTTTTGTTTGTTTGTTTTTTTTTTTGTCTCTGCCACATTAGGCGCATTATATCGACTGAAATTTGCGTGCCCGGTCAAAACGTTTGGTGCAAGGCACCACCCAGTGTCAGGTCAAACGGATCTTTGTTACCCAACGAGAATGGTTATCACGGGTTAATAATAGTCACGAGTAACCTGCCACCCCCTTCACGCGATAACATCGGCTCTTTGCCTTCCTGGCCCATTCCCCCTCATTTTCCGCGCGCTATTTTCCTCCCCCGTTTCCAATATCCTCCCGCAGCAATTTACGACGCTGAGCGACGCGGAGATCAAAGGCGTGCTGGGCGCGACGCATCGCCCCAACTACGTGCTGCAGATGATGTCCGAGTGCATGCGCTCCTGCACCATGGAACCCGCGCACCGCCTCGCTATGGTACGATTCGATACACGTTCTGGTTCATGTATCACCACGTGTGTTGCACTTCCACATCCCAAACCTATTCGAAGTAATTAATTTCCGGTAAAATTGCCCAACATTGCCGAATGTCCTTCCCTCAATTTCTGCTCTTTCAGGAGGCCAACTTCGCCACATTCGCTGATGACGTGGGAGGCAGCGAGAGGCTGTTCAAAACGCCCATCCCACTCTCCTACACGCGCCTCACCTCGAGATTCCTCGTGCTCTACCACATGTTCCTGCCACTCGCGCTCTGGGACCCCCTCGGCTGGCTCACGATCCCGGTCACCATCATGTGCTCGGGAGTGTTTTTTCTGCATCGAGGAGGTCGGCGTCATTATCGAGAATCCGTTCCCCATCCTCGCCCTCGATGTCATCGCGCAATCTGCCCGCAACAACGCTGCGGTACGAAAAGCATCCCCAACCGCACTCTCGTTCCCCTCCTCCTCCCCAGACCTCCCCCTTTCCCATGTTTCGCTTTGTCCCTTCCCATGCCTGGAAAATTTATTATTGACGTCTCCTCACCTCGCCTCTATAATTTTGTTGTTTTTTCTTCATTCCCCCCACCATGGCTGCGTGCAGGAGCTGGTGTCGCTGCACGAGGGCATTCGCGAACTGGTGGTAGGCGACGACGAGGAGATGAAGATGCTGTCGATCGTTTCGCAGCAGGCTCTACTGCCTTCCGAGCCTGCCTTCGTCGCCGAGCCTGAACCCGAGTACTCATCGGATTGGGACGAGGATGTTGCCGCTCTCGTCTCTCCGCCTAACTCTCGTTAGGATCAACCGCAGTTGTACGACTTGTAGTTTATCGTTGTTATGTTTCCTGCACTTCAGTAACTATATTTGCCTAGTTTGGTAACTGCAACATGTAAAATTTATACTGCAATATAATGATAGTAAACATTGTACGACTTGAAGTTAATCGTTATGTTTCCTACACCTCAGTAACTATATTTACCTAGTCTTGTAACTGAAACATGTAAAATTTGTACTGCAATGTTCTGACAGTAAACGTTTTTGCAAATCAAAATCTAACAATTTATTTGTAAACTACAAGACAATTTTGTGTAGCAGCTGAATTGCCTCGAGCACTCGGATTTCACTAGTAAGAATTGCAGTGTTCTTTCAAGAACACTCAGCACAGAGAAGTCTGACTCAAATCATTTCAAGGTACATAGTGCAACCCCCAGCTATCGCAAAACAAACCAAGACAGCAAAGAGCAGAGACAGCAACCATGCTTCGAGCTTAGGCGACAAGGGTGCTGGCAGTGCCGGACTCGCTGCAAAAAGCAGACACACAAGGGCGAGGGGGGGGGGGGAAGGGACGATGAGTACGGTAGGCCATGCATGCAGGATTCAAGTTGCATTCAAATCCTTCAAACGGTGACCACTGCTTCAAGGTGCTTTTTGAGGGAGAGGGAAAGAGAGGGGGGGAGAGGGAGAGAGAGGGGGAGAGAGGGGGAGGGAGAGAGAGAGAGGGAGGAGGAGAGGGGGAGAGGGAGGAGAGAGAGAGGAGGGGGAGAGAGAGAGCGAGGGAGGAGAAGAGAGAGAGAGAGAGAGAGAGAGAGAGAGAGAGAAGAGAGAGAGAGAGCTCGAGATAGAGAGAGAGAGAGAGCGAGAGAGAGAGAGAGAGAGCAGAGAGAGAGAGAGAGAGAGAGAGAGAGATAGAGAGAGAGATGGAGGGAGGGAGGGGGGGGGGGCGGGGGGAGAGAAATCCATATGCACTCACTACTTCCAGTTGGGCGGCAGCTTCTTGGTCCACTTGTAGTAGCGCGCGAGGCGGTGCACGCGGCTCTCGATGAGAATGAGGCGGAACTTGGAGTCCTTGTCCTTGCGGTTGCGCTCCAAGTGCTTGCGCACCGCCAGCGCCTTCTTGATCAGATGGTACAGGTCCTCGGGGATCTCGGGCGCCAGGCCTATTGAGAAGGGGAGAGAGATGGGGGAGGGGCCGGGGCCGGGGGGAACATTACAAACCGCCAGCGCCTTTTTTATCAGATGGTACAGGTCCTCGGGGATCTCGGGCGCCAGGCCTATTCGTGGGGGAGGAGGGAGGGGAGGGGAAGCGGGGAAACTTTACTAACTGCCAGCGCCTTCTTGATCAGACAGGTCCTCGAGAATCTCCGGCGCCAGGCCTGAAGGAAAGGAGAAGCTTGATAAAGACCGAAACCTTCGTCTTCAAACATTTCAGGCACAAACCCAGGACGATTGAAGTAAAAAATGCTGATAGGTCCCGAATCCCAAACATTGACGAAGAAAAACAAATCAACCTGTAGCTGACCCAAAACCCTGAACCAGCAGTTTCTAAAAGGAGCCTGGACGAACACGAGCGCCCGAGTGCAACGGAGGAATGGAGTGGCACATACCGATAACGCCCTCTGACCGCTCACTGCTCCGGCCGTGTGGCCCGCAGTGAAGCTTACAGAAAGGGACGTTGGAATATTCGAGGGGGTTTACCCCAGCAGAGAAGAGTTTTCAGGTCAGGTACCGTGAGCCTTGAGAATGCGCAGAACCTTGCTGCCGGTGACGCCGGACACCTGCGCGATACCATGGGAGTCCCTCAAAATGACGCCGATCTGCGACGGCGTCAGACCCTTCTTCGCGAGCTTGCAGATGTGCTCGTCGACCTGCAGTAAGACCGTAAATGGTAGAGAATACGAAATTGCGAGATAGGAATGAGATTCGCTTCTTCGCGAGCTTGCAGATGTGCTTGTCGACCTGCAGTAATACCATAAGTGATAGAGAATACGAAATTGTGAGATAGGATTGAGATTCGCTTCTTCGCGAGCTTGCAGATGTGCTCGTCGGCATGCCATGACAACATGTGTGAGGCGATGAGAAGCACAACGGTAAGGCGGTGACACAAAAAACGCAAAATATTTTTCCGAGAGGCCCCGAAACCTATAGATACGAAAGCTCGTCCTTTGCCTCGAAAGTACGTCCAGTCGTGTTTTCTAGTTTGATTTCTGAGAGGTGGCCCCATAGAAAAAAAAAAATCGAGTGAAGGATAGAGAGAACGCGCCTCGGTGGCAGAGATCTTCAACCAGCTGGGAGGAGTGCGCTTGTAGGGCAGGGCGGAGCGCGAAATACCCTTTCTGCATCAACCGAACCAAGAGTGCACAAACGCGAACTACGTGCGTCAGCATGCCTTCCTTCAACTCTAACAAGCAGAGAAAACGAAGAACATAAATGCGGTTAGAATCTACTGACCCATGACTGTGCATACGACCCATGGCGGCGGCTGATCAGGGGACTGCCCACAAGGCGAGGAAGAGGTGCGAGAAATGGAACTACGGGAAAGGGTAAAGCCGGTAGCTGTTGGAGCCAAAATAGGGTTGTGGAGTTTCGAAGAACTGTCACGGGGGGACTGCGAAGTGGGGAAAGGGTGGGTGAACGAGAGGAGCGGGGGAGGAATCGGGGAAGAGAAGACACCAAAAGAACTTGGGAAGCTTGATCCAACGGACACCGTTTGTGCGTGCGAGGGGTGAGGGTTTAGGACTATTCCTTCCTCACGAGGATAACGTGTACCGTTTACACTTGTTGAGTCACAACCACTTCGCAGGATGTAATCCGAAAAGGGTACTCTATCCCACGTAGCAGATCATTGCAAGTTACAGATTTGAAACAGTTAGCTGTTTATATATAATTACCTATAATCTATTGATTCCAAAATCACGTAAAACCCCAATCCGGAAACAAAATTCTGAATTCTCTACAACGTTTTTTTTCCGAAGTGGAGGCACATATGCAAAGTGTTTACTTGCTCTGTGAAGTGCATTTTCTGCATTTTTAGAGATACGCGGCTAGCCACAAGCTCAAACAAGGCTTGCTCCGCATCACGCGGTGCGAAAGACCAATCAAAATTCGACCCGCGACAAGCGGGCGACGCAACCACTGTTCCCTCCCCACAACCCAATTCGCACCTCCCTTCTCCCTCTTGGGGATTCGGGATAATTATTACCTATTCCAAATTTCGTCACAATTATTCGGTGCGCCGCCAAAAAAATAGCTCATGGCTCACAGCTTGCGTAACGCCGCATGCTACGCCGTCTCCCCTCGCGTCGCTCTGGTGAGCCCCCTTATCACATCCGCCAATGGGCATCAGTCGGGGTTGCACATCCATGCATCTGGAAACATATAGCTAGTAATGATGTAAAGGACTCTCCTCTACCTTGCAGGAACTGGGATCTGCACTAAATGATAGAGCACTCTGCTGGCTTTCCAACGAGCCGTCAAACACACGATTCGCCCAAGTAACGAGGGAGTTGTAGGCTTTTATGTGCTTGCTAGTGCTCTTAGAACAAAGGATAGGAGCTCTCTGGATTTTGTAGTCGAATGTATCACTTACAAAGTGATTCTCAATTTCAGTATGATCCATGCAATACAAAGCAACACAATTTTATATGAACTGCAAACATCGAGTCGCACATGTAACCTCGAACCGCGGTACACTCGCGAATGTTCGAGTAACATTTCGAAGGGGTGAAATTCGACCCTCGAATTTCACCGATCCGAATTCTCCTTGGGTCTCGAATGTTCCTGGTGCTGCCATGTGGCACCGAATCGATGGGTCTTCCGAAGTCAACCCACTCACTTCGAAACCTGCAGCTCACGCAACATGTGAGCTTCATTCGGTGGTTGGGGGCAAACCTCCCCCCACACTCAACCTCCAACACTCCCCCTTGCACCCAAGCCACTAGAAGTTCAATCCAACACGCTCACAGCATGCACGGAATGAATCCTTAGGGAGTGGTTTGGTGAGGAAGTCCGCGGGTTGAGCTTTGGTACTCACATATGTGACTTTGACCTCACCCTTCTCAACCGCCTCACGAATGAAGTGATGCTTCACTTCGATATGCTTGGTTCGCCCGTGAAGTACGGCGTTGTGAGAGAGGCTTATGGCGGCTTGGTTGTCACAAAAGAGAGGAGTTGGCTTCGTTTGAGGATGCCCAAGCTCCGCTAGAAGACGCCTTAACCATATCGCCTCCATGGCACCTTGAGTGAGTGCCATATACTCCGCTTCCGTTGAGCTTAGAGCCACGGTTGGTTGCTTCTTGCTTTGCCAACTCACGGCTGCCCCAAGCAAGGTGAAGACGTACCCGGAGGTACTTTTGCGCGTGCTCGGATCTCCCGCGTAGTCCGAGTCGGCATAGCCCTTGAGTTCAATCGGGCCGGCTTCATACACGAGCCCCAAGTTAGGTGTGCCTTGGAGGTAGCGTAGAACGCGTCCTCCCGCACGCACGTGCTCGGTATGAGGGTTGCTCACGACTCGTCCAAGCACCCCGGCGGCGTATGCGAGGTCGGGACGAGTAGAAACGGCGGCATACATGAGCGAGCCCACTAGCGAATGAAACCGCTTCCCTTCGGCTTCATCGAGGGTGGATTCTTCCTCTCCCGTGAGGCAAGAGAACCCCGTAGCTAGTGGTGTTCCCACCGGTTTGCTATTGCCCATGCCGAAGCTCTCCACTACCCCCTTCACATACTTCTCTTGGTGGAGGTGGATGGTCCCGTTGGCTCGGTCACGGTCAACGTGCATCCCAAGGTAGTATGTGACCGGCCCCAAATCCCTCATTGCAAACTCTGCCCCGAGCCATTGCTTGACCTCTCGAATGAGGTCCTTGGAGTCGGAGAAGAGGAGTAAGTCATCGACGTAGAGCAAAAGCACCAATTGCTTCTCCCCCTCCTTCAACACGTACAAAGCGCTATCGCACTCGCTACGCGCGAAGCCGTGTTGAAGAAGAAAGTCGTCGATGCGCTTGTACCATCCGCGTGGACTTGCTTCAAGCCGTAGAGGGTACGCTTGAGCTTCCACACCCTTCCGCTACCGTCATCGTACCCCGGGGGTTGCCGCATATAGACTTCTTCCATAAGAAGCCCGTAGAGGAAGGCGGTGCAAACGTCCAATTGCTCCACCTCGAGGTTAAGCGATGCCGCTAGCGCGAGCAACACCCGAAGAGTTGTAGCCTTAGCGACGGGAGCGAAGGTCTCACTATAGTGCTCCCCCTCCCGTTGAGTATATCCTTGAGCTACAAGCCGCGCCTTGTAGCGTTCGACACTCCCATCGGCTCCCAACTTCTTCTTGAGCACCCACTTGCATCCCACCAAGTAGGCACCCTTCGGCGGATCGACGAGCTTGAACACATCGTTCTCCTTGATCGATGCTAGCTCCTTCTCCATCGCTTGCTTCCATAGGGGCGCATCCGGAGAAGCCAAAGCCTCCGTGTGGGTGCGAGGGTCATCTCCCATGGTTGCGAAGCAATATGCCGCACGCTCCTCATCCAACTCCCCAACGGCTACCGTAGCGTAGTCGGCTAACTTCGTGTTGGGGCGAGGTGTACGACGCCCACGGGTCAACGCCAATGGTAGGGAAGAAGGTGCGGAGGAAGTTGCCTCCTCGGTTGGTGGCACCTCCACGACATCGTCATCGCTCTCCTCGTTCTCTCCCTCTCCATTCTCGGCTTCCTTTTCCGCTTGTGATGGAACCTCCACCGCCTCATCCTCCTCTCGTGCGGGAAGTACGACGGTGAGTTGCGGCGTTGGTTGTTCCTTCGTCGGAAACCTGTCTTCGTCGAAGACCACGTCTCGAGATGTGACGACGCGCCTTTCTGCCAAGTCCCACACTCGCCACGCATGCTCGTTTGCCGCAACTCCCAAGTAGATTGCCGCACGAGCCTTCGGTTGCAACTTGTGACGAAGGGGATCCGGGACATGGTAGTAGCAAAGGCACCCAAAGGTGCGTAGGCGGGATAGGTTCGGCTTCGTTCCGGTCCATGCTTCGAACGGAGTCGTTCCCGGGAGCACCTTCGTCGGCAAACGGTTGCGAATCCACGCCGCTAGCGCACTCGCCTCACCCCACCACTCGCTCCCAAGCTTGGAGTGTTGAAGGAGAGAACGAACGGCTTCCACCAACGTGCGATTAAGCCGCTCCGCCGCTCCATTTTGTTGGGGTGTGTAGGGTGTCGTAACGTCGTGCTTAATGCCCTTGCTCTTCATCCATTTGTCAAGCTCCGCGTTCACAAATTCGCCACCACCGTTGGTGCGAATACACTTGATCCGCTTCTTGTCGTCGTCGCAAACTTCGAGCGCCCACTCTTGAATCGTTTTGGCCGCATCTCCCTTAGCCTTCAAGAGTCGGGTCCAACACATCCGCGTCGCGTCGTCGAGCATCACCAAGAGGAACCGCGCTCCTCCCTTTGATGCATGCCGCATCGGTCCACACACGTCCATGTGAACAAGCGCAAGCGGGTCCTTAGCGAGGGGTGACGTTCGGCTACCAAATGGCTTGCGAGCCATTTTTCCTTCGACACATGCCGTGCACACGCCCTTCTCGTCGTCGCCGGCGATCACGTCGACTCCCTTCGCGAGTCCTTTGTTGACCAACTCCTTGACCGAGTCGTAGTTGGCGTGCGCAAGCCGATTATGCCACGCCTTGAGAGTTGCCTTAGAGCATTGCGCCACGTTGGATGAAGCCATGTTGGATGAAGCCGCTCTCGGGTACGTCTTGAGTTGGTAGATATCTCCGTGGAGAACACCTTGCGCGAATTGCTCCCCCTTCCAAAAGAGGTTCATCTTCGCACCGTCGATGGTGGCGATCACGCCCTTCTTCGCAAGTTTCGGGACGGATAGAAGGTTCACCTTCACCCCCGGGACGTGAAGCACGTTCATGACGTCTACCGGTCCACTATCGACGATGAGACGCGTACTCCCAACTCCAACCACCGGTAGCGATTCGTTGTTTCCGAACACGATGCTCGTGACGTCTCCCGGAGCGCCAATGTTGTTGAGGAGCGACGCCGAGTGCGTCATGTGTTGCGTTGCGCCGGTATCGAGGAACCACGCGTCGCTTGGAGTTTCGTTCCCGTTGCCGGCCACTAACACGAGCGACTCCTTTGAATCATCGGCCTCGCCGGATGCCGTGTGCGCGTTGCCCTCTTGGTTCCGCGCCTTTGATGGAGTCCAATCGCTCGGACGCTTCCGACACTCTCGCCAAAAGTGTCCCGCTTTGCCGCAATAGTGGCACTTGCTCGCGCCGTTTGATGTGTTCCCCTTGCCGCGATCGCTTCCACCGTACGACTTCTTCGTCGCACCCTTGCTCCACTTGGACTTTCCTCCGGAACTCCCTCCGGAGAACATGGCGGTCTCCACGCTCTCATTAGCGAATTGTCGGCGACGCGATTCCTCATGGAGAAGCCGACCGACCACCGTTTCCTTTGTCCAAGTGTCTTGCACGCTATCGAGTGTCGTTATCACCGTCGACCACTCTTCCGGAAGACCGCAAAGCAAGGTCAAAATCCAATCCTCCTCCGTGACCGTTCCACCGAGGTCTACGAACGTTTCCCCAAGTTCCTCCACACGAGTCGCATACTCGTGCATCGATTCGCCCGCGCGCAACTTCACCGTGTAGAACGCGTTCCGGGCTAGGATCTTGCAATGGAGGGTCTTGTTTACGTGAATCGTCTCGAGCCGCTTCCACGCCTCATGCGCCGACGCTTCGAGCTTGATGCACGTGCGCACCGAGCTCACGAGGTTGATGCCGATCCGCGAGATTAGCGTAGCAAACACCTTTTGGTCCTTCTTCTTCCAAGCCGCGATGTCGCTCTCGTCGTCCGGCTTCTTCTCCGTCCCATCGAAGAGACCCCAAAGTCCCCGCTCCATCATGAGCACTTGGAACTTAAACTTGTTGTACAGGCGTTTCCTCTACATTTCAGGAACTGGGATCTGCCCTAAACGATAGAACACTCTGCTGGCTTTCCAACGAGCCGTCAAACACACGATTCGCCCAAGTAACGAGGGAGTTCTAGGCTTTTATGTGCTTGCTAGTGCTCTTAGAACAAAGGATAGGAGCTCTCTGGATTTTGTAGTCGAATGTATCACTTACAAAGTGATTCTCAATTTCAGTATGAAACATGCAATACAAAGCAACTAGTTTTATAGCATGCAATCAACATCGAACCGCGTTCGTCACATCGCATCGCTATAATTCGCGAATGTTCTCGTAACATTTCGAAGGGGTGAAATTCGACTCTCGAATTTCACCGAATCGAATTCTCCCTGAGTCTCGATTCTTCTTGTGCTGCCATGTGGAACCGAAGTGCAGGTTCTTCCGAAGTCAATCCCAACTTCTTGGAACCTGCAACACATTCGGTGGGTTGGGGGCAAAACCTAGCCCCACGCAACCTCCAACACTCCCCCTTGCACCCAAGCCACTAAGTGCTCAATCCAACACGCTCACAGCATGCACGGAATGAATCCTTAGGGAGTGGTTTGGTGAGGAAGTCCGCGGGTTGAGCTTTGGTGCTTATGTAAGTCAGTTTGACCTCACCCTTCTCAACCGCCTCACGAATGAAGTGATGCTTCACTTCGATATGCTTGGTTCGCCCATGAAGGACCGCGTTGTGAGAGAGGCTTATGGCGGCTTGGTTGTCACAAAAGAGAGGAGTTGGGTTCGTTTGAGGATGCCCAAGCTCCGCTAGAAGACGCCTTAACCATATCGCCTCCATGGCACCTTGAGTGAGTGCCATATACTCCGCTTCCGTTGAGCTTAGAGCCACGGTTGGTTGCTTCTTGCTTTGCCAACTCACGGCTGCCCCAAGCAAGGTGAAGACGTACCCGGAGGTGCTCTTGTGCGTGCTCGGATCTCCCGCGTAGTCCGAGTCGGCATAGCCCTTGAGTTCAATCGGGCCGGCTTCATACACGAGCCCCAAGTTAGGTGTGCCTTGGAGGTAGCGTAGAACACGTCCTCCCGCACGCACATGCTCGGTATGAGGGTTGCTCACGACTCGTCCAAGCACCCCGGCGGCGTATGCGAGGTCGGGACGAGTAGAAACGGCGGCATACATGAGCGAGCCCACTAGCGAATGAAACCGCTTCCCTTCGGCTTCATCGAGGGTGGATTCTTCCTCTCCCGTGAGGCAAGAGAACCCCGTAGCTAGTGGTGTTCCCACCGGTTTGCTATTGCCCATGCCGAAGCTCTCCACTACCCCCTTCACATACTTCTCTTGGTGGAGGTGGATGGTCCCGTTGGCTCGGTCCCGGTCAACGTGCATCCCAAGGTAGTACGTGACCGGCCCCAAGTCTCTCATAGCAAACTCCGCCCCGAGCCGTTGCTTGACCTCCCGAATGAGGTCCTTGGAGTCGGAGAAGAGGAGTAAGTCATCGACGTAGAGCAAAAGCACCAATTGCTTCTCCCCCTCCTTCAACACGTACAAAGCGCTATTGCACTCGCTACGTGCAAAGCCGTGTTGAAGAAGAAAGTCGTCGATGCGCTTGTACCATCCGCGTGGACTTTGCTTCAAGCCGTAGAGGGTACGCTTGAGCTTCCACACCCTTCCGCTACCGTCATCGTACCCCGGGGGTTGCCGCATGTAGACTTCTTCCATAAGAAGCCCGTAGAGGAAGGCGGTGCAAACGTCCAATTGCTCCACCTCGAGGTTAAGCGATGCCGCTAGCGCGAGCAACACCCGAAGAGTTGTAGCCTTAGCGACGGGAGCGAAGGTCTCACTATAGTGCTCCCCCTCCCGTTGAGTATATCCTTGAGCTACAAGCCGCGCCTTGTAGCGTTCGACACTCCCATCGGCTCCCAACTTCTTCTTGAGCACCCACTTGCATCCCACCAAGTAGGCACCCTTCGGCGGATCGACGAGCTCGAACACATCGTTCTCCTTGATCGATGCTAGCTCCTTCTCCATCGCTTGCTTCCATAGGGGCGCATCCGGAGAAGCCAAAGCCTCCGTGTGGGTGCGAGGGTCATCTCCCATGGTTGCGAAGCAATATGCCGCACGCTCCTCATCCAACTCCCCAACGGCTACCGTAGCGTAGTCGGCTAACTTCGTGTTGGGGCGAGGTGTACGACGCCCACGGGTCAACGCCAATGGTAGGGAAGAAGGTGCGGAGGAAGTTGCCTCCTCGGTTGGTGGCACCTCCACGACATCGTCATCACTCTCCTCGTTCTCTCCCTCTCCATTCTCGGCTTCCTTTTCCGCTTGTGATGGAACCTCCACCGCCGCATCCTCCTCTCGTGCGGGAAGTACGACGGTGAGTTGCGGCGTTGGTTGTTCCTTCGTCGGAAACTTGTCTTCGTCGAAGACCACGTCTCGAGATGTGACGACGCGCATTTCCGCCAAGTCCCACACTCGCCACGCACGCTCGTTTGCCGCAACTCCCAAGTAGATTGCCGCACGAGCCTTCGGTTGCAACTTGTGACGAAGGGGATCCGGGACATGGTAGTAGCAAAGGCATCCAAAGGTGCGTAGGCGGGATAGGTTCGGCTTCGTTCCGGTCCATGCTTCGAACGGAGTCGTTCCCGGGAGCACCTTGGTTGGCAAGCGGTTACGAATCCACGCCGCTAGCGCACTCGCCTCTCCCCACCACTCGTGCCCAAGCTTGGAGTGTTGAAGTAGTGAACGAACGGCTTCCACCAACGTGCGATTAAGCCGCTCCGCCGCTCCATTTTGTTGGGGTGTGTAGGGTGTTGTGACGTCGTGCTTAATGCCCTTGCTCTTCATCCATTTCTCAAGCTCCGCGTTCACGAATTCGCCACCACCATCGGTGCGAATACACTTGATCCGCTTCTTGTCGTCGTCGCAAACTTCGAGCGCCCACTCTTGAATCGCCTTGGCCGCATCTCCCTTAGCCTTCAAGAGTCGGGTCCAACACATCCGCGTCGCGTCGTCGAGCATCACCAAGAGGAACCGCGCTCCTCCCTTTGATGCATGCCGCATCGGTCCACACACGTCCATGTGAACAAGCGCAAGCGGGTCCTTAGCGAGGGGTGACGTTCGGCTACCAAATGGCTTGCGAGCCATTTTTCCTTCGACACACGCCGTGCACACGCCCTTCTCGTCGTCGCCGGCGATCACGTCGACTCCCTTCGCGAGTCCTTTGTTGACCAACTCCTTGACCGAGTCGTAGTTGGCGTGCGCAAGTCGATTATGCCACGCCTTGAGAGTTGCCTTGGAACCTTGCGCCACGTTGGATGAAGCCGCTCCCGGGTGCGTCTTGAGTTGGTAAAGTTCTCCGTTGAGAACGCCTTGTGCGAATTGCTTCCCCTTCCAAAAGAGGTTCATCGTCGCGCCATCGATGGTGACCTTCACGTCCTTCTTCGCGAGTTGAGTGACGGAGAGTAGATTCACCTTCAATCCCGGGACGTGAAGCACGTTCGTGATGTCCACCGGTCCGCCATCGACGATGAGACGCGTACTCCCAACTCCGACCACCGGTAGCGACTTGCCGTTTCCGAAGACGACGCGCGTGACGTCTCCCGGTGCAACAACGTTGGTGAGGAACGATGCCGAGTGCGTCATGTGTTGTGTTGCGCCGGTGTCAAGGAACCACGCGTCGTTTGGAGTGTTGGTCCCGTCACCGGCCAATAACACGATCGACTCCCTTGTATCATCCGCCTCGCCGGATGCCGTGTGCGCGTTGCCCTCTTGGTTCCGCGCCTTTGATGGAGTCCAATCGCTCGGGCGCTTCCGACACTCTCGCCAAAAGTGTCCCGCTTTGCCGCAATAGTGGCACTTGCTCGCGCCGTTTGATGTGTTCCCCTTGCCGCGATCGCTTCCACCGTACGACTTCTTCGTCGCACCCTTGCTCCACTTGGACTTTCCTCCGGAACTCCCTCCGGAGAACATGGCGGTCTCCACGCTCTCATTAGCGAATTGTCGGCGACGCGATTCCTCATGGAGAAGCCGACCGACCACCGTTTCCTTTGTCCAAGTGTCTTGCACGCTATCGAGTGTCGTTATCACCGTCGACCACTCTTCCGGAAGACCGCAAAGCAAGGTCAAAATCCAATCCTCCTCCGTGACCGTTCCACCGAGGTCTACGAACGTTTCCCCGAGTTCCTCCACACGAGTCGCATACTCGTGTATCGATTCGCTGGCGCGCCACTTCACCATGTAGAACGCATTCCGGGCTAGGATCTTGCCGTGGAGAGTCTTGTTTACGTGAATCGTCTCGAGCCGCTTCCACGCCTCATGCGCCGACGCTTCGAGCTTGATGCACGTGCGCACCGAGCTCACGAGGTTGATGCCGATCCGCGAGATTAGCGTAGCGAACGCCTTTTGGTCCTTCTTCTTCCAAGCCGCGATGTCGCTCTCGTCGTCCGGCTTCTTCTCCGTCCCATCGAAGAGACCCCAAAGTCCCCGCTCCATCATGAGCACTTGGAACTTAAACTTCCACGCGGAGTAGTTTTGTCCCGTGAAAATCGGTACCGCCGACGTGTCGTACATCGTCGCGGCTGCCCAGGGTTCGCCAGAGTTTACAACGACACCATCCAAGGAAGTGCGGGAGGCCTCGCTTGAAGTCGGCATGCTTGCTTCTCGTCGCGCGCGTAGACTCCTCCGACCAGCTCTGATACCACTGTTGTAAAGGCGTTTCCTCTACCTTGCAGGAACTGGGATCTGCTCTAAACGATAGAACACTGTGCTGTCTTTCCAACGAGCCGTCAAACACACGATTCGCCCAAGTAACGAGGGAGTTTATGTGCTTGCTAGTGCTCTTAGAACAAAGGATAGGAGCTCTCTGGATTTTGTAGTCGAATGTATCACTTACAAAGTGATTCTCAATTTCAGTATGAAACATGCAATACAAAGCAACTAGTTTTATAGCATGCAATCAACATCGAACCGCGTTCGTAACATCGCATCGCTATAATTCGCGAATGTTCTCGTAACATTTCGAAGGGGTGAAATTCGACTCTCGAATTTCACCGAATCGAATTCTCCCTGAGTCTCGATTCTTCTTGTGCTGCCATGTGGAACCGAAGTGCAGGTTCTTCCGAAGTCAATCCCAACTTCTTGGAACCTGCAACACATTCGGTGGGTTGGGGGCAAAACCTAGCCCCACGCAACCTCCAACAAAACTTCCACGCGGAGTAGTTTTGTCCCGTGAAAATCGGTACCGCCGACGTGTCGTACATCGTCGCGGCTGCCCAGGGTTCGCCGGAATTTACAACGACACCATCCAAGGAAGTGCGGGAGGCCTCGCTTGAAGTCGGCATGCTTGCTTCTCGTCGCGCGCGTAGACTCCTCCGACCAGCTCTGATACCACTGATGTAAAGGACTCTCCTCTACCTTGCAGGAACTGGGATCTGCACTAAATGATAGAGCACTCTGCTGGCTTTCCAACGAGCCGTCAAACACACGATTCGCCCAAGTAACGAGGGAGTTGTAGGCTTTTATGTGCTTGCTAGTGCTCTTAGAACAAAGGATAGGAGCTCTCTGGATTTTGTAGTCGAATGTATCACTTACAAAGTGATTCTCAATTTCAGTATGATCCATGCAATACAAAGCAACACAATTTTATATGAACTGCAAACATCGAGTCGCACATGTAACCTCGAACCGCGGTACACTCGCGAATGTTCGAGTAACATTTCGAAGGGGTGAAATTCGACCCTCGAATTTCACCGATCCGAATTCTCCTTGGGTCTCGAATGTTCCTGGTGCTGCCATGTGGCACCGAATCGATGGGTCTTCCGAAGTCAACCCACTCACTTCGAAACCTGCAGCTCACGCAACATGTGAGCTTCATTCGGTGGTTGGGGGCAAACCTCCCCCCACACTCAACCTCCAACACGCTTCCTCTCTCTTCTCCTCGTCCTCCTCGCGGCCTTCGCGCTGAGCCTCACTGCTGCCGATCCAACGACCCCAAGCATCGCGCGAAGCAGTCCTGATGGTTCTTGTCAAAATGAGGAATGAATGATGCATTGATGTTGGTTGGGGTACATATAGCTAACCCTAAGTTTTGTACCCCCTAAGACAAACCTCACTATAGGCTACAACATTTGACACACCCCCATAGCCTAAGTGAGGGGTGTCTAGCAGAACCAAACGAGTACGGTCACAAGACCAGTCCAAGAAACGAAGCTCAGGGTGGATCACAACGTCACCACACAGTCTGAGCACAAACAACAGTGGCCACAAGGCCAGTCCAAGAAGTAACAGAGGTATATAGAAAGCAAAGTAAACAGTACACTCAAGTCTAAGCAACACGAGAACCAGTGTCAACAAGGCCTAACTGCACACAGCACCTCTGGTGGTCACAAGGCGGAAGCGCCTTGGTGAAGATGTCTGCAGTGTTGGCCTCGGACTCCACAAACTCAAAGCGAGCCTGTCCACGCCTCTGCAACTCTCGCAGAAGAAAGTACCTGACGTGAATGTGCTTCACTCTGCTCTCCAGTCGTGGCTCTCGACAAAGGAGAATAGACGCCTTGTTGTCAGTGAACAAGGTCGGTGCAGAGCTCGGCCGCTCACCAAGGTCGGTGAGCAAGAAGGTCAACCAACGCAGCTCCTGTGCCGCCATGGCACCAGCGTAGATCTCAGCCTCAGCTGTAGAGGTCGAGACCGAAGAGGAGCGCGTGGACCGCCAGGAAACAGCTCCAGAACCCAGGCTGAAACAGTACCCCTGAGTAGACCTGTGAGTCTCAGCGTCGTCAGCGTAAGAGGAGTCACAGTGACCAGTAAGTACGACAGACTGCTGCCCTCCAAGAACTAGCCCCACGCCTGACGTCGTCGCTAGGTACTTCGCCACCCTCACAGCTGCTGTCCAGTGAACAGGACGGTGTCTCCCTGGCGCAACAAAGCGCGCAAGAACGCTGAGGGGGAAGGCGAGGTCCGGGCGAGTACAAGTCATCAGGTACATGAGGCAACCCACAAGCTCAGCGTAGGGACCACTAGGCTCGAACGGCTCGTCAAGAAAGGGTCCAGTGAGTCTGTGGTCAACAGCAAGAGGTGTGCGCTGTACTGTGGAGTGCTGAAGCCCGAACCGCTGAAGGACCTGCTGCACCATGTGCGACTGTGAAAGTGTAATGGTGCGAGCAGCTCTGTCCCTGGTGATCTGCAGGCCAAGGTAGTGGCGCAGCTCACCAAGATCAGTGCAGGTGTGTCTCTTCTGCAGTTCGGACTTCACGTGTGCCAAAGCAACCCTGTCAGGGGTGGCGAAAACAAGGTCGTCAACGTAGACCAGAACAAAGAAAGGTGTGGGGCCACGACGAACGAACAGCGACGGGTCAGCAGAAGACGGCTGGAACCCAAGGTCAGACAGGGTAGAACGCAGGGTGTCGTGCCACTCACGAGGAGCCTGACGAAGTCCGTAAACCGGTCGCCTCAGCCTCCACTGGGTCCCAGGAGGGAAAGAGCCAGTGAAGGCAGAGGGACGACGCAACCAGACCTCCTCGTGAAGACTGCCCTGAAGGAAAGCAGTAGAGAAGTCGAGAGAGTGTAACTCGTAGTCTCTCTGTGCTACTACGTGTAGTAACACCCGAAGAGTGGTCATCTTCGGGGTGGGCGCGAAGGTCTGAAAGAAGTCAACTCCCTCGCGCTGACTGAAACCTCTAGCCACGTAGCGCGCCTTGAAGACCGGAGGAGATCCCGGTGGCCGCTTCACCCTGTAGATCCACATGCCGTCGACTACGTTCGCCCCCGGAGGGGGAACCTCATCGACGTAGGTGCCTGTGGATCTGTAGGAGGCCATCTCTGCGTCCATGGCAGCTCTCCACTGAGAGGCCCAAGGCCCTGACACTGCCTCAGCGTAAGTGCGAGGAGTCGGAATGTCAAGGGCGTCGGGGTCACCCTCAGGGGCGAGGAGCATGGCACAGAGATGAGGGGAAGCGGCCGCCAGGAACTCTAGCTCAAACTGCCTGTCCTCTAGGGCGTCACAGCCAAGGGCAGACACACCCCCGACGGCCAGAGGACTGGAAGGAGGAGCAGCCACAAGAGCGGTGGCGAAGTCAAGGCGGCGGGTAGAGGCAAACTCAGTGACTGCGGCAGTAAGAGCGGACACAGAGGACACAGAGGCACGAGGGTGGGTAACAAGAGAGGCGAGAACACGAGAGAGAACAGGACGGTACGTGCGGTAGTAGTCAGTGACAGGAGAAGGAAGCGACACAGTGAGGGCCGACTCAGGAGGAGACGGAAGCACAGACGGAGACGGACGAGGTGGACGAGAACAAAGGAAGGCTGTACGAAGGTCAGTGAAGGGAACAGGAGACGAGGGACGAGCACGAGGGGAGCGACGAGAGGCCCAAGTCTGAGAAGGAGGAGGAGACAACGAAGACTGAGGACGAGGGAAAACAGCGGGAGAGGGGTCAGGAGGAGGAAGCGGAGGACCAGAGACGGGAGGAGAGGGGGAGGAGGAAGGAGAGGGAGACGGGAGACCAAGGGTCCGAAGACCCGAGACAGGAGGAGGAGACCCTAAACCCCGGCTGCTGCGGCTGCTGCTGCTCCAGCGGCTGCTGCCCCTGCTGCTGCTCCTGCTGCTGTCGCTCCTGCTCCTCGAGCCGCTGCAACTCTCTCTCCTCTCTCTCCAACTCCAGCTGCTCCTCACGAGCACGGCGAACACGAGCCTGGAACCTGGTCGGGTAGGGGTGGGGGGAAGGAGTAGTGTCCGGGGCAGCGGCAGCCCCAGAGTCGACCTCCGAAGCACCAAGTACACCACCCCCAGAGGCAGCACCAACACCAGCTCCAGACCCAGGCTCTCTAGAAACCGAAGGGACACCCTCACCCCCAGACGCAGCACCCCCAGACTCCGCACCAGCACCCCCAGACTCCGCACGACCAGTACCAGCCCCCGGAAGACAAGAGTCCTCTGCAACCCGCGGCTCAGCTCCAACTCCAGCACCCCCAGAACCAGAGACCTGTACAGGGACAGTCGCAGGACCAACCTCCCGAGAGGGAGCACCTGCAGGAGGCGGCAAGGAAGACTGTGGGGAGGGAGGCTGTACAGGGGGGGCTACCGAAGGGGGAGGGCTAGCCTGAGACACACCAGACGGGGCTGGACCAGGGGGGGGAGGCTGTACCGGGGGAGCAGGCGGGGGAGCGGCGGTCAGGAAGAGAGGGGGGGGAGGGACCGGGAGACCTCGACTGGGGTACCTGACGTAGTAGGGGGTGGACTCCTCGAAACGGACGTCACGGGAGTCAAAGAACCGGTGAGAGGGAGGGTGGTAAAAGGTGAAGTCAGAGGAGTCCTCAGGGAAACCAAGGAAGACACAAGGAACGGCGCGAGGCGAGAGCTTGTCCGCGGAGGTGTCGCGGACAAGAGCCAAGCACCCCCAGACACGAAACCTCGACGCGACACCAGGGGACCCTGTCCAAAGACTGGTCGGTGAAGCCTCCGGCCGAGAGACGCGTGGCCAGAGGTTCAGCTGGTGCGCGGCGTACCTGACCGCGTATGGCCACAGGAAATGGGGGGCACGGGCGTGAGTCAAGGAGGTGCGGGCAATCTCCATGACCAGGCCTATGCGACGCTCAGCAACCCCATTCTGCTGTGGGGACTCCGGAAGCGTCCAGGACTGACGAATGCCCTGTTCGCGACAGAATCCAGCGAGAATGCCGGAGCGAAACTCGCCCCCGCGGTCGGAGTGGAGACAGCTGACACGACGACCACGAGTGTCCTGGGTGGTAAGCAACCACCTGATCAGCGTAGAAGTCACCTCAGACTTCCTCGCCAGGGGGAACACTGTGGTGTAGCGGGAGTAGTCGTCAACGACCACCAAAAAGAAACGCTCACGCTCAGGTTTCAGGGCGAGGAGAGGGGCCCCAGACGTCCAAGTGCAGCGTCTCAAAAGGCTCGGTGGCCGGACGAAGGGAGGAGGAGTGAGGGGTGGCGCGCAGCCTACCCTCGACGCAAGGACCGCACGGTGGTGCAAGGGACGGCGGCAGCGACGGCAAGACACGCGGGAGACCTAAGACAAGACGCTGACGAGACATAGCGCGAAGACGAGGAGGAGAAGGGTGCCCCAGCCGGTGGTGCCACAAAACGGTGGGGTGGGCAAGCGACCGACAGGAGCACGACGCAGCGACCGGACTAGACGGAGGAACCTGACAAGACACAGCTACCTGGGGGGACGGAGCAACCTGGTGAGACGCGAGGACTCGAACGGGAGGCAAAACAGGGGCCGGGGGCAGGAGGGGCGGCTGTGGCTGCGGCTGCGGCTGCGGCTGCTGCCGCTGCTGCTGCTGCTGCAGTCGCTGCTGAGCGCGCGGGCGAGTGTGAAGAGTGTAGAGACCGGAGCCCGGCTCAGCAGCAAAAGTGGCGAGGGGCTGGTAAGAGTCCCCGTCAACACACACCGCAGTCTCTCCAGAAGGCTCAAACCACACACCCACGTGCTGACTCACGAGGGGTCGCACGCCCACCAAGTTCCGGGAGAACGAGGGGACGTGAAACCCAGTGAGAGACCCAGAAGGAGCAGCCGGACACGGCAAGGTGGTAGTGTGACGCGCGGTGACTGGTCCCGAAGTGGGATCAGCCAGCGCCACAGAAACAGGCGCAGGAAGAGGCGTAAGTGTCGTGCTGTCACGAAAGAAGCAGTGAGAAGCTCCAGAGTCCAGCGTGAACGACAGCGAACCGTCCTCTGAGGTAGCCGCTGGACTAGAGTCTACACAAGAACCTACACTAGCAACAGGCAACTGAGCAAGGCTAGCACCTAAGCTAACAACACCAGAGTAAGCAGAGTCAGAAACACTAGAGTCAACAACAGCATACATAGCATGGGGAGTACCAATGAGATCAACTAACTGCTCAGCAGACATGCCCCACAGAGCGGAGCCGTAGCGCTGAACAAGAGGCAGCCAGTCAGGGGCAGGAGCACCAACCCCGTAGACCAAACGAACCGTGTCAGTGAGCTGAGCAAAGCACTGACCAGGGGGGTGAAACCGGCCACAAGGGTGGCCACGACGAGGGCCTGTCAGAACCTGGTAGGTGCAGGGAGTGTAAGCAGCACCGCGCTGGGTCTGACGCAGCCCCGACCCCGGAGCCAGCTGCTGCCGCTGCTGCTGCTGAGGCTGCTGGGAGGAGAGGGGCTGCTGGTGCTGCAGAAGCTGCTGCTGACGCTGAGCCTGGTACCACGCCGCTGCTCCACCAACCGGGGCAGGAAGTACAGGAGGCGACTGACGAACTCGGGCGTCGCCACCACCAGCAGGCGCAGTGGAGTCACCAGTCACTGCACGAGGCGCCTCTCCAGGCCCTGAACCTCCACCGCCGCCAGGCGCAACGCCACCTCCACTACCTCCGCCTCCACCTCCACTACCACCACCAGAACCGCCTTTCTTGCCACTCCTACCGCGGGACCGCGACGCAGTCGTAACAGCAGCTGCAGTCGCGTCAGTAGCGGCAGTGGCAAGTGAGGCAGTAAAGGTGGGTAACTGCGGGACTGTGCACCCGTGGAAGAGTGGGGGGGGCACAGCACCAGAGGCAGCGGCTACCGAGCGAAGGTTGCTCTCGACGTCCTTGAGTGCAGACTCAAGAACCTCGACGGTGAGCTCACTAGGGTGCTTCAGCAGAAGCGCGTCGCGAACGGAGGCAAGGCGGTCAGGGAGGCTAGTGGCGATGAAATAGATAGTAATCGCCATAGGGGGAGGAAGCAGTGCAAGCTGTGCCTCAGTGCAAGCAGCGCGGTAACTAGCGTCGAGCGAGCGGAGGTGAGCGATCAAGTCAGCAGAGCGCTCAAAAGACGCTAGGTCAGGAAACAGGAACGGGAGGAACAGGCGGCCAAGAGAGACAGCAGCGGGAGTAGAGTAGCGGGCCTTAATCGCAGTGAGGTACGCAGCAGCGGTGCGAACCTGAGTGAAGTGAACCTCCTCAGACTCAGGGAGGAGGCTGCTGAGCGCGATGCAGGCCGCAGCGTCACGTGACGTCCAAGCCGTCTGGTCAGCTCGCTGAGTGGCAAAGCGGGCTCTAGCGGCGTCGTCAGGGGCAGGTCCTAAAGGCGTAGGGTCGGGGGGCGCAGGTAGGGCACCAGTAGCGTGCGCCCAGAGGGTCTCGCCTGCCTGGACCTGACTCTCTAACAGGCGGCGAGCGCGAAGAAGCCAGACTGGGAAATCGAGCGGGCGACCGTCAGCATCGAAACGAAGGACGCGAGGGGTCGCCATAGTGTGCAAACGGAATTGGCAGGGCGCAGCGGCAAGGGAGAACGGGCAGGAAGAGCGGGCAAGAGCGGGCGGGTAGGTCAGGTGTGGCGGGCGCGCGGGTAGGGCAAAGGCGCCGGGCCTGGGCGACGGGCTAGGGCGCGAGCCAGGGCGACGGGCTAGGGCGCGAGCTGGGGAGACGGGCTGGGGCGCGGGCCAGGGCGACGGATCGACGGGCAGCAGGGGGAAACGCGGGTCGACAGGCAGCGGGGGGAAGCGCGGGTCGACGGGCAGCGGGGGGAAGCGCGGGTCGACGGGCGGCGGGGGAAGCGCGGGTCGACGGGCAGCGGGGGGAAGCGCGGGTCGACGGGCAGCGGGGGGAAGCGCGGGTCGACGGGCAGCGGGGGGAAGCGCGGGTCGACGGGCAGCGGGGGGAAGCGCGGGTCGACGGGCAGCGGGGGGAAGCGCGGGTCGACGGGCAGCGGGGGGAAGCGCGGGTCGACGGGCAGCGGGGGGGAGCGCGGTTCGACGGGACTAGATCGGGCCGGCACTAGGCTCGGGCAAGACGGGCGAAACGAGAGCTAGGATCAGGCTCGGGTGGTACGATCGGAGAACGGAGAAACGGGATCCCACAGGTATGTGGAGGGATCCCACAGGATCCTAACCTAACTGATACCATGTCAAAATGAGGAATGAATGATGCATTGATGTTGGTTGGGGTACATATAGCTAACCCTAAGTTTTGTACCCCCTAAGACAAACCTCACTATAGGCTACAACATTTGACAGTTCTACCCGTGGCGCCAGCGTTATTATCACCAGCCGGCGCGCCTTGGCCGAATCGCCAGCACCCAAGCGGGTCTTCCAGGCGTATCCCGACACGAGTCTGGCCGCGAAAAAGAAAGAAAGGCGAAGGCGAAGGCGAAGGCGAAGCCGAAGGCGTTGGTGCGGACCGCGGCGAGAAAGGCGGCGAAAGCGCTCGCGAATGCCATGTTTCCTGGCCACGCGGGGGCGGTGACTGCTGCGTTTTATGTTAACCAGTACGTGGTGCCCCTGCTTGAGGCGGAGATTACGAAGCGGCTCGTGAAGGTGAAGACGGAATAAGATGGAAACTATATTAACGGGTGTTTCAGGCTGAGTCACGTGGGTCAGACGCGTATGTTGTGCCGCTGCTCGAAACGGAGTTGATTTATGGATTGAGAAAGGTGAAGATGGAGTAAGGGGTAGGAACGTAGGGTCCGGATAGCTTCTGACGGGGTGCTGCTTCTGGAAGCGGAGTCAGAGAAGGTTAGGTTCGAAATGGGTATCGAGTGTGAATTACGCATTGTACAATGATCTGATAAACCTCCGCCCTCCGCTTGAAGAATGTGCACCGAAGATTAATGTACGTAGGTATGTAGTACTATCCTAACAATCATACACAAGTCGAGGTTGCCACGCAAGCAACCTACATGTATCAAATGATAACCAGGCAATGCATATTCCTAGGACCTATCGTCATATTCCTGCCATGACGACCCTGCCTACGCTTATGAACTGCTAACCAGGCCCACCGAGCCAAATGTTACCAAGCCACGTGTCACCGCCACATGTTACCAAGCCACGTGTTACCAAGCGTAGCTTTACCAAACCACGTGTAACCGAGCCAAGCGTTACCAAATCAGGTGATACTGAGTCACGCGACACTGAGCCAAGTGTTACCGAGCCAAGACTGGCTGGGCTTTCACGTGGTGTCCTTTACCCGGAGCTCTGTGCCCCTTCCCTGGAGGGTGGCCCCCTCCTGGCTTCTTAGCCGGTGCCACTCCAGTCCTCCACTTCTTCCCACGTTTCACCGTGCCAGCAGTTACAGGGTTACCAGCAGTTACTGTTCCTGCTGCTGCTGTGCTGCCCGCTCCCACCTGGGCATTGTTGCTGGTGGCGGCTCCGTTTGACTGAATGCTGTAGCTGGCATTTGGTATAGTCACACCCCCTGTGGTCTGCGACCCTATAGGAACGTCTTCTCCGGTTTGAGGGGGGATGACGGTTGAGGGGATGGTGGGATCATTGATGTTGCCACTGCTGCTACTGCTGCTGCTGCTGCTGCTGCTGCCACTGCTGCTGCTGCCGCCTTGACTGCCTTGACTTCCTTGACCGCTTTGACTGCTGGCACTGCTGCCACCCGCATTGACCTTGCGGCTGGCGGGAGCAGGAGAGGATGCTGACGCGGCAGGGGACACGTCAGCATTGGGAGTACCGGTGGCGGGGTCGCCACCAGCAGTGCTGCTTCTTCCGAAGGAGGAGCCTTCAGTTCCAGGAGTTGTGGCAGGGGCAGTTGTGGCAGGGGTGGTTGTTGCAGGGGCTGTAGTGCCAGGGGCGGTTGTTCCAGGGGCGGTTGTTCCAGGGGCGGTTGTTGCTGGAGGGGTTGTTACAGGGGGAGTGGTTACTGGGGGAGTGGTTACAGGGGGAGTGGTTACTGGGAGAGTGGTTACTGGGGGAGTGGTTACCGGGGGGTTAGTTGCTGGGGGTACTGCTGACGGGGAAGGCGCTGCTGAGCTGCTGTTGTTGGCGGTGCTGTTGCTGTTGCTGTTGCCCTTGTCTCCGTTACTGGCATTCCCGCTATTGCCATTGTCGCCGCTCTTTTTCTCAGGCACATCTGTACTGTTCCCCACGCTGCTGTTACTCCCACCATCCCCGTTAGTATCCGAACTGTTATACCCACTCGTAAACTGCGCGCCGCAAGTGTAATCCCCAGGATAAATCGCCGGAACGCAATTCTCCCCCGTTGTAATCACAGCCCCGTCCATCCCCGACGTAAGCCGGAATTTCAGCGGCCCCTCGATATAGCTCCAGCTGACCCAATTCGTACCCCAGTCGTGCGTGAGCGGACGCCAGTTGGGGTCGTTCTTAGATGACACCTCCACCAGAGCCACCTCCCCCGGCCCGCCCACGCGCAGCAGCAGCACGTTCATCCAGTAGTTGGTGCCAGTCACGCGGAAGGTGATGGACGTGGGGAAGGAGCATGGCACCCTGTGACGAAATGAGAGGGGTTTAGCACAGGAGAGAGAAAGAGAGCCTGAAAAGGCAAGAAAAGCCGATGGTTTTTCTTGCTTGAACGAGCAAGGGAATGCGCGCTGGCTGGGAAGGAAGGATGGAAATAAAGGGCACTGAGTAACATAGGAACGGGAGGTGACGTAGAGTGACGTAGAGTGACGTAGAGTGATGTAGAGTGACGGAGGAGTGACGGACTCTGACGAAGATAACCGGAGACTGACGCCATGCGCGCTAACCTCTGGTATGCGAGCGGAATGACTCCCGCGACGGGGTCCGCAATGATGCCGAACGCGGGCTGGCTGAGGTCGAAGTGCGTGCACGTCGCGCAGCACACGCCGCCGCCCGGACAGAAGTCCGTTATGGGTACCGTGATCTCCGCGTCCTTGCACCACTGGCTGTCCACGCATCGCACTCTGCGGCGAGGAGAGAAGGGGAGGGCGGATAAATAAGAAATTGGCCGGATGAGGGAGACGAGTGGTAGCACCAGGGCCGTCCACACGCCACACGGCCCGGACAGAAGTCCGTTATGGGTACCGTAATCTCCGCGTGCTTGCACCACTGGCTGTCCACGCACCGCACTCTGCGGCAGGGAAACGGAAACGGGGTGGGGGATGGGAGGGGGGGAAAGGAGTCAGAGGCGACTGCGTTGAGGCGAAATTACGCGAGGGGAACCTATGTGTTGATTGCACTGGGGAGAAAGGATAAGTTTTAGTCAAGGGAGGGATGGTCGCAAGATGGTCAACGGGTGAAAGAGACATGGCTCACTTGTAACAGGCACCGCATCCTTTTCCGCCCTTGTAAAGCGGCGCACTTCCCGCCGCGATGAGCGGACCGTAGCCGGAATCCGCAAGGACGCCGTATCCGCAATTGCCACCTGCAGCACGACGGCAGTGAAAGGGAATAGAGATGCGAGTGAGCGACACAAGTCGCGAAATGCTACGGGAAGAGATGAATGCTGTGCGAAAGCGAGAGAAGCGTGCGCTACTTACTACGCCGGTTCATTGGCAGCAGTTCGGACGGAAAAATAAGAAGAGGAAAAAAGACAACATCTCACCATCGCCGCTGCCGTAAAAGGTGGCCGTTGCTCGTCCCGTGTCGCCGTAAGAGGCTGATTCTGTAACAGTCGAGAGCGCCACGATTGCGAATGCTACGGTGAACGTCAGAGCGTGGGAAGGTATCCGCAAAGTTCGCAAGCAATGTGTTGCCATGCTGACTCGTAGAAAGGCAGCTTATTGTTGTTTCCTACTTTTGTATGAAGCTTTCCTGTACTTCCGTATTTCGCACGCTACGCGTTGCAGCCCTTCTAAGACGTTTTCTGCGTCAGCGAAAGTGTCAATGGTCGCGACCGCCGTTAAAGTGAGGCTTTCGTTTGCTAATGGAGTGACGCTGGCTCGAAAGCAACCTTTATGCGACAGGTAAATGCTACTTTCTAAGGGTTGACGAGGTCCTGAATTCTAGTTGACGACAGACATGTCCCAGACCAAGTACATTGGGTGATGGAATGGATTATGGGATGTACCGAACAGGGCACTACCGTCGAGTCGGGTAGAACAATGTGAAATGTCGTTGGCGAATGTGCGGCTCGAAGCTCCTCCCCTATCTTGACAATGTAAGGGGACGGACGACCTGGCGGAGCGCCAAGTTGTCCTGCGATCTCTTTGCGACAGGCGGGAATGGCTTCGCTGAAAGCTCTGCGACGCTTCTCTTGGTGTCAGATGGGGTGACCTTTGCTTCCCTGTCGCATAAAGTTAGCACATCCTCTTGGGAGAAAAATTGGGCAAAGATCATATTGGGGCCAGAAAATAGCAGAGGGGTGTCCAAATTAGGGCCGGGAAGTCGAACCTAGACATTTAGAGTAAATTACTGGAATTCCCGTAATCGTGAAATTGTTTTCACTTGTCAGAGGTTCTTACGCGTCGTGACTGATTGAGAGGAAACTTTACGCCGATAGCGCCACCAAGCACTAGACGACGCTACCGGTAACTGTTAGGGAAGGGAAAAAAACTAAAACCCTTAGCGAACCCGGACGTCTTTTCGGGAGGGATCAACCCTAAACACGGGACCCCGCAAGGAGTTTAGGGTTGATGCCTCCCCGAGTCGCATCCGTTTCCGAGCGGGTTTTATTTTTTTGTCACGTTGAGTGATGTGTCTCTTAAAAAAATACACGAAGAAACATACTTCCAGAGGAATACGACGCGAGCTTAGTATGAGAAAAATATTGAATGAAACACGTCTTGATTTTAGTAATTTCCTCATAATCTCGGTTCGGGTAATCGGCCCAGCCACATGGGCAGCTACGGGGATGTATCGAACGGTCAGGATTTACCCGGCCCTAATTTGGACACCTCCCTGCTATTTTCCGGCCCCAATATGATCTTTGCCCAGAAAAATTTGTTAGGGTACGCGAATCGCGGTGCATGTTGATAAAATTCAAGCAGGGATTGGCCGGCCAAAATGCTGGTAACCAGGCGGCTCGTCTGGCCCGTTTCGCATCGAGAGGAGTGTGGGCAGGAAAACTTACAGCTGGCGAGGAAGGCAACAACGATTGTGGTAATTTCTGCGATGTTGCCTAGGACAAATGTCTGACAGCTGCAATTGCCCCTGACACGGTCATCACCAATTTGCCCGCTACATGAAATATTGGCAATTTGCCCCGCGATTTATTGATCGAGTCGCACGACCGTGTTCTGATTGGATGAGGTGCATATGGACGAGGACACGCCACAACGGTTGTTTTGAAGTTCCAGCAGCGTTTGTTATGTTACGAGTATTGAGCGGTTCAAAGCGGTAATTGCGCGAATCACATTAGTATGCTTAGTATACTACAAAACCCTGAAAATTTTATCAGTACTTCGCCTAACTCGAAAAACTTCAATCAGCTCAGGGGCTTAACATATAAAACATTCACGGCACTGGCAGAACTCGAAGTTTCATCCAGTTGGAACTTGCACTTCTTATGAACTAGAGGCATTCATCCTCTTGGAGCCTATCTTCTCCCTCCCCAACTAAGGGCAGGGCACAGCTAAGTGCACATCTAAAACCTACCCTGCAAAATGCAAATGCTCTGAAGTCCTAAGCCCAACACACTGCTGGTCATGAAGCATCCTCGTGTACCATACCTCTCAGTCTCAAACCATCACCTAATGCGGCCATAGTTCCAAAGCCCACCCACAGCAACACCACGCCGGCAGCACTAAGAAATCAAATCTAGTAGTCCATGCCGCCCATGCCACCCATGCCGCCCATGGGGCTGGGCTTGGGATCTTCTGGAAGGTCAACAACAACAGCCTCGGTAGTGGTCATTAGGGATGCCACGCTTGCAGCATCCACGAGCGCTGTGCGGATCACCTTGAGCGGATCGATGATACCCGCCTTCACCATGTCCACGTACTCGCCTGGTAGGTGTGGTGGGGAGGGGGGTGGATACAGAAGACTACAGGAGGTCAACAACAACAGCCTCATTAGCTGACACCCAATGCTATTCCCTCACCCTTGGCAGCGCCATAGCACCAGTCGAGGTTGCTCTGCTCCGACAGCTTGCCCACAGCACGCACCAGGGGGCTATGTGACTATGTCCCCCAAGGCACAATACACATCACAGGACCAGCGGCCTCACCCCTATTGGCGTGCACTCACCCTTGGCAGCATCATAGCCCCAGTCGAGGTTGGTCTGCTCCAACAGCTTACCCACGATCACTGCCCCCTCCACCCCTGCGTTGTTCGCGATGGTCAGTGCTGGCGTCTGATGGGGATGGGGCGAAGGAGGAGGCAATGGAGCGGTGGGGTCGGGGAGGTGGAAAGACGGAGAAGGGGAAGACAGAGGTTGCAGTCAGCAGAGTGCGAGCTTGTCAAGATCCCAAGAAGCATACAGCAGAGCTGGCAGAGCCAGTAATTCAAGACAATCACGAGACTGGACGGGACGTTCACTCACCCTCAGAGCGTCCCTGATGATCTGAATGCCCACTTTCTGGTCAAAGTTCTCCGCGCTGAGGGTATCAAGGTCCCTAGACGCGTACAGCAGAGCCACACCACCGCCCGGCACGATGCCCTCCTCCACAGCGGCCTTGGTGGCGTTCAGAGCATCTGTGACCCGGTCCTTCTTCTCCCCCACCTCCACCTCGCTGGCTCCTCCGATCTGCACACACAGGGGGAACAAGGCACCAGGTCAGGAGGGGCATCGGAGGAGGCAGTCAGAGGGAACAAAGGCCGGAGGGTTGAGCATATGAAGGGGGGAGACATGGTCTCAAGGGGCACAACGCTCTCCTCCACTGCCGCCTTGGTGGTGTTCAGAGCGTCCGTTACCCGGTCCTTCTTCTCCCCCGCCTCCACCTCGCTCGCGCCGCCAATCTGTATGCATGGGAAAGGCAGGGGCGTGCAAGAGCAGTGGAGGAGGGAGGGGCAGAGAGGGACCGCGGACAGGGGCAGAGAGGGCGCCACGGGGGCCAGAGGCGAGGTGAGTGTGTGAAGGGGGGGAACATGGTCACCGCCGCCCGGCACAAACCCTCCTCCTCCAGCGCAGCCTTGGTGGTGTTCAGAGCGTCCGTCACCCGGTCCTTCTTCTCCCCCACCTCCACCTCGCTGGCTCCCCCGATCTGTGCAGGGAAAGAGATGAGGCGTATGGATGTAAGGGCCGAGCACCAACCCATGGCACCAACCCATGCCTCTGCTCGCAACACCCATCACCCTACACCACTCAGACCACCCAACAGCAGCCAGCACCACTCAGCAGCCCACGTAGCCGGCCACCTCGAAGCACGTCCACACCGCCAGAGAGCTTCATCGACTAAACGAAGCAGCAGTGTGTGGTGCGAGTCCCTCTCGCCAACCCACAGGGGCAGCCACAGGCTCTGCTCACCACACCCATCACCACTCACTCAGCACCAGCCAGCACCACTCAGCACCACCCAGCACCCCCATGTCCGCCCACCTTGAGCACGGCCACACCGCCAGACAGCTTCGCCAGGCGCTCCTGGAGCTTCTCCTTGTCATAGTCCGATGTGGCGTTGGCCACTGCCTCTCGGATCTGAAACACAGGGAGGAGAGACAGAAGTAGTGAGGGAGATGAATTGGGAAAGTGTGAAGAAAGGACCAACCTCTCCTGGAGCTTCTCCTTGTCGTAGTCTGATGTGGCGTTCGCCACTGCATCACGGATCTGCAGAGAGTAGTGAGAAGAGAAAACACAAATGCAGAGAGTGAGGTGCGAGGCTGTGTAGTATGGCGCATGCTGGTGGAGGGGTGGCTCCTGCATCTCCTTTTCGTGCAGCCCAACATAGGGGAGGCTCCTACATGTTGTCTGATGCGGCGTTGGTAACTGCCTCACGGATCTGAAACAAAGGGAGGAAACATGCGCTGCCCCATGCGCGGCGCGCAATGGGGAGAAGTGAGGGGCACCCGCGGGGTGAGCGGGTGCGTCTGCTGTGCCAGGGAGGCCGTCAGGGTGTCAGGGCGTCAGGGAAGGCCATGAGCTATGGAGAATGGCATGGCAGCGCATGGCATGGCGTGACGTGACGTGCCATCACGCTGAACACATCTCACCATGACATCCTGTGACTTCCCTCTCACCTGCTCGCACCGCTCCTCACCTGCTCGCACCGCTCCTCCAGGGCCTTCTTGTCACCAGCTCCATCCAGGATAATGCTGTCGTCCTTCGAAATAGTCACCTGATCATGCCACACATGCACACAGCCGCAGGAAATCAAATGAGCCCCTCATACAACAACAAGATTTGCTGAGGCAACGAGGCATGCAGCAGTTACCGCGGCGAGCATAGGTAAATAAGGATGGAGTGGGGAAGAAGGTATGGGGAAGAAGGTATGGGGAAGAAGGTATGGGGAAGAAGGTATGGGGAAGAAGGTATGGGGAAGAAGGTATGGGGAAGAAGGTATGGGGAAGAAGGTATGGGGAAGAAGGTATGGGGAAGAAGGTATGGGGAAGAAGGTATGGGGAAGAAGGTATGGGGAAGAAGGTATGGGGAAGAAGGTATGGGGAAGAAGGTATGGGGAAGAAGGTATGGGGAAGAAGGTTACTAATTCCCCATACTTTCCCACCCCACCCTCC